ATTCCAGCATCTACACGGGGGGACAACATTAAACAAAGATCAAATGTGGCTTTTATCACGTAGATGATTTACAAACGGACGACTAGGGATTGAAGTTCAATTGATCACAAGTAGGAAGATGGGCCGTATTAGCCACTTACTATGCTTGAGGTATCATCCTAAGTTGAGTTAGTATCCTTAGTTCTCCTCAGCTGCCCTGAGAAGGGGGTAGTACTGTTATCCCAGGTTATAAATATGGAGACAAAAGAACAGGGGAGTTACATAACTGATCCAGACCACCACAGTTTAGAACATGAGCCGCCTGGCCCTATTACTTTCAGAAGTTGGCAAACTGGGGCTAAACTAGAAGAGGGGCAACAGGAGGCTGGAAGGAGGAAATAACGGGGTGACAGTAGTTCAACACAAGTGTAAGCATGCAGAAAGGTCACTTCTTGATGTAGCTATATGTGGTTGAGTTCAGCAGCTAAACCCCTTATCATGGGCTGCTTGGCCACTTCCCACCACAGAGTTCCTGAAAGAGTGTGATGTGACTTGCTGTAGGCCTTTTACAACCTCTGTGACCAAACATGGTATGTTCTTGTGGACTGTGATACACATTCAACCAGGTCCTCGGAGGGTGAAGGTCTGCTACTATCTTTAATACTCAAAGGAAAGTTGGCTGTGTGCAGGGAAGTAGCTGCATGATGGAACCACCTCTGGGTGCTTCTGCCTGGTTGGCTTTTCTGCTAAGCCTGTCTCCCCAGCTACTTTCAATTTTTGTTGCTGTTGAAACTTCCACTGAAATCCAAGCACTGTGCTGTATGCACCTGTATCCCAGCTACTGAGACAGCCGGACACAGGATGACTGGAGGCCAAGAGATCTAGGCCTGGGTTACAGAGTGAGACTCTCTCTCTTCAAACAAATGCACACTTCCATTTGGTGACTATTCCTCTTAGTCAAGCACTGGCCTGTTTTCTAAGCACTACTAATGCTAAAGTTAGAATGAAGAATGGGCAATAAAATAGAGCTGAAGAGTCTTCTTCACATTTAGAGAAAAAAATTCACTGACACCCATCCAGTTAAGTCTCAGTGGTTGAGACATGTCCTGTGTTATTAATAATATCAAAGAGTAGCTCAGTCTCCAGGAACTTTTTTCAGAACCACACTTTATTTTGGACAACTTATCCTGATTCCTCCCCTCAAAACAAAAATTAGAAGGAAAAGAATCTGGAACCCATTTTTAGGTTTTGTTAAAACTTATGCTTGCTCTAGCCTGATTTCTTTCAGATTCTGCCTCTTGTACAAATACAAATTACAATTGTGCAATAATATTCATGGCCAAGTGCATTTCTATTTAGAAGTAGGAAAATACAGAAGTTGTCTTTTAAAAATCTCTTTCTTCTATAATTTTGGCTGTTTTCAGTTTACCTTATTTGTCTTTTTTTTTTTAAATCTAATTCATATTCATCCAGGGGAGCAGATCTCAATTCTTCTAGTTTTTCCAGGCCATGATAACTAAAGCAATGAAAAACATCACAGCAATAATATGTAACCTCTATTTACATGGCAACCTTTTTCAACACATTCTAAACTTTAGCTACAGAGGGAGAACACTGCCTTCTGAACACTTGTGGACTGGGTCTTGCTTCCCTGTTTACAGCACCTAAGATGGTTGGAAATACTTGGCATAACTATCAAGATTGTAGTTTCCAAGAGCCACTTGGTCTGTTTCCTCCTTTACATAATCCTATCTCATTCTGTCCTCTCTACCACCTTCCAGCCCAGGCATTATCAAAGCCCAGATACTAAAGACATTGCTCTGAGCACTGCAGGTGGCTCTGGGCTTCTTAAACTTTCTTCTTAAGACAGAAAACACTACTTTAACTGTTGCAAAATGTACCTCAATGACATACTTGCAGCCTTGGACTGTTCCTGATGGAAATTGGGTTAGGAAACTCCAAGCTGCAGTACCTCTAGCCCATGTTTGGGCATCTCGGTAAACTCTGGCTCTGACAGTGAACCCAGCCTCCCTCCCTTTTCTCAATCACTGATCTTATGTCTTCTCACTCCCCAAGAGACCCCAGCCAAGAGTGATGTCCCACTCCCATCTTATCTTGTACATTTTCATCTGATTCAAGTCCACAGAAGCATTTACAGGGCACCTACTGTTTGCACAGGGAGAACCATATATATATATATTTTGTCTGCTCTGTCATTCCTTGTCTGATCCATGGGACTGGAGAGATGGTTAAGGACACTGACTACTCTTGCAGAGGACCAAGATTCGATTCCCAGCATTCACATGGTGGCTAACAACCGTCCATAATTCCAGATCCAGGGGATCCAATGCCCTCTTCTGACCTCTACAGTCACTGAAGGACACAGGTGCACCTACCTACACAAAAGTAATACACTCATACATACTTTATATATAAATATATAAATAAAATATTTTAGAAAGTCTGACCCAGACGATCTCTTTCCAGAGAATGTTTTGTACTTAACTGCACCTCTTCTCCTGTTTGTAGATTGGTGTTCTTTGGTGAGCACACTCTAGCTGCCTAAGGCAGGGGCACTCAGGCTTTTTAATCATGACCCCAGGAAGGAATGCAGTTCATGACACAGTCCTACATGCACTTGTACGCACGCACACGTGCACACACACACACACACACACACACAGACCCTTCGCA